GCTTGTGAGGGGAGGACTCGGGGTGTGGGCGCTTCACAGTACCTAATATATCTGGTGGGTCAAGGAGCAAATGTCGCGGAGGTCACAGGCTACAGAAGTCTTGGGGTACGGTGTTAAGATATGATGATCACACTGAGAAGATCACACAGAATACCTAAGGGGTCATGACAGGGGTCATGGAAGGAGGCAAAAGGGGTCATGGAAGGAGGTCATGACAAAGGGGTCATGGAAGGAGGTCATGACAAAGGGGTCATGAAAGGAGGTCATGACAAAGGGGTCATGGAAGGAGGTCATGACAAAGGGGTCATGAAAGGAGGTCATGACAAAGGGGTCATGGAAGGAGGTCATGGCAAAGGGGTCGTGGAAGGAGGTCATGACAAAGGGGTCATGGAAAGAGGTCACGACAGAGGTCATGACAAAGTCATGGCAAAGGGTCATGACAGGGAGGTCATGACACGACAGAGATGAAAGTCTCGTGGCAAGCGAGGCACTTCAACAAATTGCCTGTCGACGCAGCAAATCGCGATCGTTAATCATAGTGAAGACTGAACTTCCCCACAGCACAGGCGAAGCAAGGAACTAGACAGGCGAAGCAATGAACTAGACAGGCGAAGCAATGAACTAGACAAGCGAAGCAAGGAACTAGACAGGCGAGGCAAGGAACTAGACAGACGAGGCAAGGAACTAGACAGGCGCGGCAAGGAGACAGACGGACTCACAATCAACAAATCAATCATCAGCTGCAACAGAAGCTTTATATAGTCATTTAGTAAACAAAGGAACCACGAGTGAGTGAACAACAAATACTGTTCCTTCATCACACAAGCTTAGAGCAATATTTTCTATTTGTGTGTTGTTATTCAGGGTAAGGGGGTGTTGGTACTGCAGGGAGATGAAGGAACAGCAACAAGAAGGTCAATCCATCTTAAGCATAGTAAGGCAAGTTTGAATAAGTCATTTGTTGTGGTAAGGGTCCCGGGGCAGGTCTTCACGGGCTGGCCATATAGGGCGGGCAGGCCGGAGCTAATCTGAATTTTACAGATGAACCGACTTACCCCGGCCTCTCCCTCCCCGGCTTCCATCTCAGTCAACAAAAACAATATCTTAAAAACAAATAATTTTGAATATTTAAAAGACGGAGAATATTTCTGGACACATCATATAGTAAATATCGGTGATTATTATAAATATTGTTTCATTATTTTTTTAGATTTTTTTATTGATCACTTTTATGTTTCAAGATAATAAACTTAGTATATATCGTTGAGTATTCTGTTAGGTTAAGTTCTTGTTCTTATTCTGACATAACTCATACTAAGAAATAACATTCACAACTAACACCAAAGTGCATTATAATTCCTTCACTTGTATATATATTCTCGGGTCACGTGACTGTGGTGTGTGTGTGTGTGTGTGTGTGTGTGTGTGTGTGTGTGTGTGTGTGTGTGTGTGTGTGTGTGTGTGTGTGTGTGATTTAATTGCAGTGTTTCTTTATGCCTAAAACACCTTCCCCGTCTCGGCTCCACCTTCTCCCTCATTCCACGTCTCGGCTCCACCTTCTCCCTCATTCCACGTCTCGGCTCCACCTTCTCCCTCATTCCACGTCTCGGCTCCACCTTTTCCCTCATTCCACGTCTCGGCTCCACCTTCTCCTTCATTCCCCGTCTCGGCTCCACCTTCTCCCTCATTCCCCGTCTCGGCTCCACCTTCTCCCTCATTCCACGTCTCGGCTCCACCTTCTCCCTCATTCCACGTCTCGGCTCCACCTTCTCCCTCATTCCACGTCTCGGCTCCACCTTTTCCCTCATTCCACGTCTCGGCTCCACCTTCTCCTTCATTCCCCGTCTCGGCTCCACCTTCTCCCTCATTCCCCTCCAACATTGCCACTGAAACAACTATAACCAATGAAACAATACTTAACAAACACATCAACTATGACTATTGCCAGATAAATTATTGCCATCGAGAAAATGCCATAAAACACATTCAGTGAACACATCTGCTCTACGGTCATACAATTGTAAAACGAATGAGGCAAAAACAACTCTGGGATATAAAAGCAACACCAACCAACATCCTTATCTAATGATCTCTTATTTACACCATACACACCTCTCCTCACTCCTCCTACAAGAGCCGCGGTGTGGAGAACCTTTTATCCCTATAGTAAATTACACACCTTATGCTAAGCGGTTCCAGGGTGTTAGTTAGGTCCCCATAACATGTCAACAACAGACACGGTAAGTGGGACCTGACCCCCTTGTGTTTATACAGGCCAGGCTTCTTACACTCCTTATGAATTCTAATAGTGATTCTGAGAGTACCATTAGTTTTATTTAATACTGTTTGATACTCTAACATGGTGAATCTAAAAGTACCAATGATATTCACAGGTCCTCAAGGGACTTTGTAGAACTTCTTCCTTGAGTGAGGTGATTGATGGGTGAGCGACCTGCCAAGCTCTTAGTCTGTGTTTGATTGATGACAAGGTGAGATGTACCTCTATCTATCTATCTATCTATCTATCTATCTATCTATCCCTAACACACACATCTCCTCATATCTCCAACAAACACACAGCCTTCCATTCCCAACAAATACATTGAGTATACAGTAATGGAATTCCTCGCTAGATGTATCACCGATCATATTTCTCACCTCTCAGTCCCTCCCTCTCTCTCTCTTGGGGCCTATGTAAGCTAGGCCCCCAAATAGGAAGATTGAGGGAGGGAGGGAGGGAGGGAGGGGGGGGAACACGTGTTTACTCGGCCTACCTGACATAATTGTTCTATATTGAATAAAAAAAACACAATCAGGCGAGTCGTAAGGTTTTGGTTCATGAAGTCAAACTGTGAGAGGTAATGATCACAAAACTGAACACTTGTGAGTGGGAAACTTTATCCTTCCTGCAGACAGAGGATTAAGACCAGGAACTGAGAACAAACACAACACGAGGCAGTAAATTTAGCCTTAGTACTGTGACCAATCATACACTATGAGTAATTCAGACGACCAAGGCAGCAAATCACCAAGGTTTACACAACACAGAACGGATAATATTTTACGAGACACAATTTATAACATATTTTTAGAACAGTATAAGTGAAACAGTCGTGGATGTCACAGTTACAGGAAGTAGTTTGTCAATAGCATTACGTCTATGATATTAATTTGCATATCAAACAGTATTAAACATGTGTGAAGATGAAAAGTGTGAAGCCTTGTTTATGTAGATTTAGATGAGATAGAGAAGCTGATAAAAGTCATGCTATCAAGGTGAACAAAGCAACCAGGCACAGTTTGGCTACGGTCAGGTTAAGAGGGTGAGGATCCTCAGCCACCTGGAGTCTATCGTTAACACGGTCATCAGAGGGGTGAATTAATTATATCTACACCTGTATACCTCACGAGAAGCCCTTAACAGACCAGGTATCAGGCGTCTATTAACACATACACCATATAAGGGACAAACCGGCTTAAATAGGGTATACAAACAGCAGATTAGGGATGGTAAGGTCCTCTGATGGATACACACACAGAGAAGGAAGACCTGACCCCTGAACCTCTTGAATACGATATCTTGACCCCTTGAGTACGATATCTTAACCCCTTGAGTACGATATCTTAACCCCTTGAGTACGACATCTTAACCCCTTGAGTACGATATCTTGACCCCTTGAGTACGATCGTTCTCAAAAGTTTAAATAGTTTAATGGACAACTCAGGAACCAATATAATGGGTAATAACTTGTAAGGGGAGACCAGAGAACTGAATGTAGGTACAGTACTTCCTTCTTAGTGTACAGTCCCCTTCACTAGTGCGTTTACAGGGGCTCGTCATATAAACATTCCACAGATCATTATTTTTTGAGATATTTGTTTTAATATTGTTTTACTTTGATTCCATAGTATGTTTACTATTGCGAATTTCCTTCTGTCGAATGTAAACAAACACGGCGCTGCCACACTGCACAAAACTTGACGAGCCCCTGTAAACGCAGTAGTGAAGGGGACTGTACCTGTGACGCTGGTAAAGGCCGGGAGTTGGTAAAGTGAGGTTAATGTGAATATTTTCGTGGCCACTGATATTAATATTGGTTGGTACTCTTATAATCAGTTCAAATATTAATAAACTTTTTTTTAAGATGATTGATCGAACTACAGTGTTAGAAAACTCACTGTGCACCTGAAATAATTAACAATACAATTAATTATCTTTTTCTACCTGTAGTAAATATTGTAAATCGTCACGGTAAATGTTGAAAGTGGATACGATTCCCAATATTAACTGTAAGTAGAACAAAGTATATAACGGTGTAGGTATAACAAGGTACAACTAATTATTGCACAGGGAGTTTTAGATCACCCAGGTAAGAGACGTTTACAAGATGGTACTGAGAACCTGTGAGTGACCGCTGGGTGTTGTGACAGTGGAGACAACTGACACACTGTTAACTACTGTAGGTGCACACGGCCTTTTATAACCCCCTGTATAAGGCATCAGATGTAGGGCCACACGAGTTTGGTTATAGAAATAAGAGAAAAAATATGTGTTGACTCTTGGAAGGCGAACAAAATGATGACTGATACAATTGTCTTAATATCACTCAAAACATTCTGGATATAACACCATGATGATAATAATAATACTGTTACCAGGCCTAGGGCAGGTGTGGGCCAGGTGAGTGAGGTGAGGTGAAAATAACCTATGAATTCTATTTTTATTTACCTGGAGCTGGACTTAGTGGTGAAGAGTGTGAGAAGCAAAGAGCCAACTCCTGTCTATTGCATCAGATGTACAACAGTGAGACATTATTCCCGGAGTTCGTCTTAAAGGGTGATAGTCAACTAACCCCTCATGTACGGGGTCCCCTCTGAGCTGAATACAATCGTGTGACGTCAACCAAATAAAATATTAAAAGCGGCGTCCCTGTAGTTAGTGGAGATAGTCTATTAAATGTAACTAAGTTGAAGATAAAAGTGAGTTGAGGGAGACTTACCTCTTGAGGGCACTATTCTCTGTCTGTGTTGCTCCTTGTTGCGGTACCTTGTGGAGAGCACCCGAGCCATGACGGGGGCTGTGGCCTCCTGCACCGCCCTCACCACACACCCGTCCAACACTCACTTATGAACACAATCCCCCTCCTCTTCCTTCTCCTCATCCCCCACCCACACTTGGCACTTGCCTCTACCTATCACTTTCTTAACAGTACACCATCTCGCTCCAATATGTTGACACTTTTGGTTACCCACTATGGACTCCACTTTCCCAACACACACTTGTCCTGAACACTTTCCTCCTCCACACTCTCGTTCACTTGTCGTTAATCAGGTGTTCATCAGATCCTCGTCTTCTAAACTATATATTTCAACTTTAATTTTAGGTTATAAACTTTTTCTCTTCATCTCACAAGTACGGTAATGTGGTGTATAAGGTGTGCCACGTCCTCAGCGCCCCAGCCAGTGTGAGGCAGAGCTGGCTAGGAGCATCTTGGTGGCCGCCCTCCCTCCACTTATCCTGCCTCACCGCACACAACTTACTTTTTACACTTATTTTTTCCACCTTCTTATTCACCAGATTCCAACCATTACTTTTTACCACATTGTTCCTTCCGTTCTTTAACATACTCCATACTTGCCGTCATCTTCTGTCTTAGTACATATACCACCTGGCGCCCCCTTCCACAACACCTCCCCATCACTAGTTATACACTCTAATCATAGCAGTTCTTATTGCACTTAACACATCTGTCTCATTTATTCAAAGTACGTGACCTTAGAGAAAGAAAAAATATTCACTCATTATCGATTCTGAACTGGTACTTCAATATCTTTTATAGGTTACAACTTACACATAAGACAAAATCCTATTGACTACAAGGAAGTTCCTGGTTGTAGATTCGTAAATAAATATTATTCATTGATATTTTTCTCCTGTCTATTGTATGTCAAATAGCCCCGCCCTCTTTCTCTCGTCTTGACTTGCGATTGGTCAGTTAAAAACAAATTATAAAGAACGTGTTTAAGAGTGACTAAAGTTTGCTTCCACAGAGGATAGTGTCACATTATCTAATCACAAAATCATACGTCACATTCATGGGCTGGCCCGAGTGTGACATTTCTATAATGAAGAGACCTTAGGCTTATAGAACACACACACACACACACACACACACACACACACACACACACAAACACACACACACACACACACACACTGACAAAAAATCAGATAAGTATCCTGGTGGAAGTTCCGTCTCGCAAAAAGCAACATCCAACCCAGCAGACACCGTGAGACAGCCACAACACGTCCACGATACACAGGCACACCAGGAGTATTGGGCCGTATACCCAGAGACAGCAAAGTGTAACAGCAGGAGTAAAGTGAATTTCTTGAAACAGTATAAATAACGTCAACACCACCACCACCACCACAGCATATTACGAGATATATGTTTAACTTCAACAACAGGTTATATTAGTAGAGCCAACAACAACAGGTTATATTAGTAGAGCCAACAACAACAGGTTATATTAGTAGAGCCAACAACAACAGGTTATATTAGTAGAGCCAACAACAACAGGTTATATTAGTAGAGCCAACAACAACAGGTTATATTAGTAGAGCCAACAACAACAGGTTATATTAGTAGAGCCAACAACAACAGGTAGACACTCACAAACAACAGTTGCTATAAGTCAGCATAATAGTTGTACCGAGACAACAGTAAACTTTAACGCCAACAGTAGATCAGACCCCCCTACAGCCTACCCACCCACCCAGTAACAGCAGGAAGAAGGTACATGTTGTGAGGGTGAAGTAGCAGGAACAGGCAACTTACTCCGGGATAGCAACACCCAACAGTTGATACATACTAGTGAGGGTGAGGACGAACCCAAGGCCTCACAGTCAGTATATGCCAGGACTACGCCTTGTGACTCACCACCAACACCTCAGACACACCCACGCACCCCCACCGCACCCCCACCCATCGCAGCATCAACCAACACAACAGACTCAAACAAACACACTCTCTCATACTCTCTCCCTCACTCTCTCACTCTCACGCACTCTGTCTCTCTCTCTCTTCCTTCAAAAATACGTACCACGAAGTCATTGCTATAACAGTGGTTTATAGAGGAGGTGGAGAGTGCCTGCCACGCTTCACTGCTCCCCACGCCAGCCTCTACACCGCCCTCACTCCCTCGCGCCACTAAAATGTTATAGTAAGTATGATTGTCCGATAGGGTTAAAAACTCTCTCGGTAATAACTTGGGTTTCTATTTAGACGAAGACAAAACACGTCCACTGTTGTCAGGGTGCATAAAGCCGCTGGGAGTAACCTAGGACACACACACACACACACACACACACACACACACACACACACACACACACACACACACATTGAGAGCCACAGTTACCCCGGGAGAGGTTCGGTACTGCACTTACTTACATATCTTCAAACATTATCAAATATTATCATACGTAAAAGGTATATTGTGTTATACTTTTTTTTAGGAGGAGAGGGGGGAAAATTATAAAGGTGATTTCAATGAATAAGTAGAGAGGTATCCAAATTTGTAAGTACTAAGCCTCTGACACACCCGAGTACAATCACCACTTGGGTTAAAAGGTTTTCTTTACCTTTAAACTCAAAGCTGGGTGGTGGTGGTGGTGGTGGAGGTGTGGATGAGAGTGGATGGTGGTCGGTGAGAAGCGAATTGAAATGTATGCGAAGTGTGGATATGGCAACACGATGGCAACACAACATACAACAGTAATACGTGTCAGGGTACAATGGCAACACAATGGCAACACAAAACTGATGGATAATTATGTATTGAACCCAAGTGCAAAATCCATTACAGCACCGCCTTTATAAGTCACTGTAATATCCTTATCCTCTCTGACTCCTCAACTACCTATGATAATGTCTGATATTCCCGGCAGTAAATAACCAGCAAAATATTTATAATGGGATTCAGTTGATGATATACGTGAGAGATGGCGACACCGGTACCAATTACTGTAATGGTGAAGGTAATCAGTGTCATAATAATAATAGGGAGTGTTGTGTGAAGGTGTGAAAAATATGGCAACACTGGTATATAAGACTGATGTAATGTTCACCTCCAGTATAAGTCGGGGTTACACACTGGAGTTTGTTTATACGGTGTGGTTCTTCAGTAGCACCGACAAACATAGTGAGTTAATAGACACAGGTAGTATAAGAGAAGATTTAATTCGGGTTTTATATCAGCATCTTTGACAGGTTTATAAAATTATACAATTTTCTCCTCGGTATTAAAATCTTACGCTGATTTAACACAATTTTACACAAGCGATCAACGGCATAATGAAGGTGATAAATTAAATCTTTATACAGAAGACCAACAACACCCGGATATAAGAAAGATAATTATTACTATCTCGTGGTGATGCAAGACTTAATGATCTGTGTTCCAGGACATGTACAGTCGCCTACACTTATACCTGGTACAGTGGCTGGCGCGTTTTGTAAGATGTGGCACCTCTGTGTTTGTTTACATCATATTAAAGCTCTCGTAATGGCCCTAAAGAACCTCGCAATAGACTAAGGAGGCTAGATAAGCATTCCTACAAAGTTGCCAAATCTCATAAAATACGCCACACACAGTCCCGGGATGGAAAATGGAACAGTAACATATGAAAGAGTCCAACAAGAGACTAGGTTGAGTCCTTTAGTCTCTCTCCTGCGGCGTCATTTGTGTGTACAAAGACTCGTTCGTCTCAAATCACCGTATAATTACACCGTCGGAAGGTCCTCAGACACCAAGACGTAGCTCCACACTCCTGCCAGTGTGTGTGTGTGTGTGTGAGTGACTTAGAGCCACAAGTCAACAATCACCCACCAGCCTGACCCCACTATACAGGGTGTTATTACGGTATATTAATAACAGGGCTCTCTCTCTCTCTCTCTCTCTCTCTCTCTCTCTCTCTCTCTCTCTCTTGCTTTCCTTTCCATTTTCGTCTCTTATCACAAACAGTAACACAAGCAAATTTGATTAAAAATTCCCTCCATTCCCTTGACTCCAAACAAAAGCTTTGTCTATACAGCAGAGAAGATAACACACAGCAATAACGAGTGTCATATAGTTCTGTATTTTAATTTCCTCGTGAATGACACAGGAGAGTAGTGCGAGTGTAAAGCGGTCGACCTTCCTGTATAGGCGGCGGGGTCTGTGTGTGTGTTCCGCCATGACTTGCCGTCCGCCCGCCATACATTGGAGACGCTGCGTTAAGCTGGAATTCGCTCAGTCACCCACAGGGACCGTCCCCAACTGTCCGATACCTTAGCTAGCCAAGTCTGTCTCCCTTCATTACCTGTCTTAATTATTCACTATATCCAACCTATAGTACACCCCTGAGACTGTCTATACTCAGGTGTGTATGTTTGTACTCAGGTGTATTTGTTTACCCTCGTGAGGAACAGACACGCCTCAACATCAAGCAAGGTCAACAAGTAAACAATTCCCTGCTGGAGCCTTATAACCTTGACCCGCCCCTGGAGCAGCAAGCAGACGAGCAGCCACACCACAACACTCAACAGGGTGGGCCTGGCTGGCGGTGTTAGGTGTCCTGTTTCGTCAGCCTTGGCAGAACCATTCCACAGTATCAAGTTGCCCTCGTTCCCATTACCACACACACACACACACACACACACATGTACGTGCATATGACTGGCCATGTTGATAGGTAACTCATGCTAATCTTCTAATGGAGTTATGTTGATGGTGGATGGTGATGGTGGATGTGTATAAAGAAGCGGAGGGAGTGATGGAAGGAGGGCGTGGAGGGAGTAACACAAGGAGGGGGGGTGGGACGTGGTAGCGACGTACTAGGACCAGGCAACACATACAGGATCACCAAACATTACCCCTCCAGGTAAGCAGCCCCAGGTGAGACAGTCCCCAGGTAAGGTATCACCCAGGTAAGGTATAACCCAGGTGAGACAGTCCCCAGGTAAGGTATCACCCAGGTAAGGTATCACCCAGGTGAGATATCCCCAGGTAAGGTATCACCCAGGTAAGGTATCACCAGGTAAGATATCCCCAGGTATCCCCAGGCAAGATATCCCCAGGTAAAATAGTCCCCAGGTAAGATATCCCCCAGGTAAGATAGCCCCAGGCAAGATAGTCCCCCAGGTAAGATAGTCCCCCAGGTAGATAGGCCCCAGGTAAGATAGTCCTTCAGGTAAGATGTTCCCAGGTAAGATATCCCCCAGGTAAGATAGCTCCCCAGGTAAGATATCCCCAGGTAAGATAGTCCCCAGGTAATATAGTCCCCCAGGTAAGATATCCCCAGGTAAGATAGGCCCCCAGGTAAGATATCCCCAGGTAATATAGTCCCCCAGGTAATATAGGCCCCCAGGTAAGGTATCCGTCAAGTCTTTCCAGCTTCACACACACACGTTTATTTATCCTATTATTAACTCACTTCGTTTATAAGACTCAGACACAAAAACTGGCCAAGACTCTCCTAGACACTAAGTGCATTTAATGGTTAAATTCACCACCAGGGGCTATCATTTAGACCTGGGCGAAAAACTACAGAATCTGCTTACCGACCTTGCGTCCATCGTACCTACCTACCTACCTGCCCTGCCCTGCCCTGCCCTGCCCTGCTTATATACCCTTATACCTACCACTTGTCTGCTCGCCTACCCACCTTCCTTACCCCCCCGCGAGCATCTCAGTGCCAGACAAAAACTAGCTCAGAAAGGCATACCTGAACTCCGTGATGCCGACCACCACAGCCTCCACACATCGCTGCCGCTCCCAGTCTGCTCTAGGTACTCTCATTGACGCACACTCCTCCTCCTACGCAACTCCCTGACGCGCACTCCTCCTACCTAACTCTCTGACGCACCCTACTTCTACGCAACTCATCAACGCACCCTCCTCCTCCTCCTACGCAACTCCCTGATGCACCCTGCTCTTCCTACGCAACTCACTAACGCATCTTCGTCCATCTACGCAGCTCACTAACGCACCACCCTTCTTCCTTCACCACCTCACAACCCTTTACTTTAACCAGGGTAAAGTATGGTAGTCTTAATAAAACGATGAATATATTTGTCTTTCATATCAATATTACGTTCATTTCTGCATTCAGTCTCTCTGAGGGGCCTTAGTATACGAGAACCTCCCTGACGAGGCTCACTCCCCTTGTCCCTGACGAAGACTGCCAGAGTATAGTGGGTTCTTGGGCCTGTCAACCTCCTATTGCTTCCATGATGTATGGTATGGAAGCCTTCCTGATTCCCTCAGCTCCTCCAACTTGTGTCCCCCCCCACCGTAGTGAACGTGCAGGAGTAGATGGATTACACTTCATATACCTCTTCATTATCCCGGGAAAATCCTTGGATATTTTTCTTTGCTCTCTCGATGAAAAATATAATCTATGCAAATTTCTACAGACAACACCAGCATTCCTAAAAAAACACTTGACTGGCGTTGTGTTCATCACCCTATCTTCCCCCAGACGGTGTACAACACTTCCTCTCACACTAGACGCCAACAATCTTGCCACCTTTCCTAGTCATCACCACAAGGTTCACCATAACTGACGTTTTCTCTTATGATTCTCAGTTGACCAAAAAATGCTTCTCTAAAACTTGCCAAGATTCTCCATTTACATCTTTATCTCACCACCTTTCAGCTCCTCATTACTTTGCTGCCTCACTTATAGTACGACTCTCTCTCTCTCTCTCTCTCTCTCTCTCTCTCTCTCTCTCTCTCTCTCTCTCTCTCTCTCTCTCCTTTCTTCTCCCCCTTTCCCTGCACCTGTCTGAGTCTGTCTGTTCACCTGTAGGTCCTTTAATCACTGTAATTATTCTTAGTTATAAACACAAGTTATGATTCGACTGGATATAAAATACAATGTGTGCGTGTGTGTGTGTGTGTGTGTTTGACGTGAAAGAACACACACACACACGCACACACCTACTCACACGCAACCCCCCCCCTCCCCACCCCTCCCACACACACACACACCAGTATATTTTTATTTCACGACACTAACATATAATTACACAGACCAACAGACACGGACCAACAGACACGGACCAACAAACACGGACCAACAGACCAAATGAGCCTGATCAACTAACTAACATCGAGTTAACAAAACATACACGTCTCCTATTATGAAGTGAGAAACTAACCTCACTGTCCTCAAGAGTCAAGAGCCGTGAAGGTTAAAGAGCTTTAAGTATTTCTCTATCATGTTACTATACCATCCTGATGTGTAGTCGTCATGTGGTGGTATTTCTCTATCATGTTACAATACTACCGTGATGTGTGGTCGTCATGTGGTGGTATGTTGGTCTCTGTTTGTGGTTTTAGAAATATGGAGAATTGGATGACATTAACCCAAGGAAACAAAAGGGTGTTGAGAATAGTTTATATAATATTACTTTGTTCTCTTTAGGGTGTCGGGTACTGCCTCTGTCGCATATTTAAAGAGTTTCATTGTGTTATTGTCAGGTGTCTATACATTTTCTAACGCGTGTGGGTGTGGGTGTGTGTGTGTGTGTGTGTGTGTGTGTGTTTGCCTCGTCACATACATGTTCTAGAGGTTAATTAGTTACTTGGTCACAGGTATAACACAGGATTATTCACTTCATCTTCCTCGCTGGGTTGAACACCTGGTGGATGTTACAACTCACACCAGCACTCAGGGAACATTATCAGCCATTGCATGAGTGTTTTTATCCAGTGTTATGGCTGCCTCCCTCTCCCTCGCCCGACACTACTTCACTTAGTTGAGTAATATTCGTCACAGTTTTCCGTCGTGCGGGTGACACCTGCCACTAGTGTCGGGTATTTAAAAATCCGGCACTTGACCGCTTTGTTACTTTACTCATCCACCATCACCACCACGTGTTCTACCATCACCGAAAACGGAGAGCGGTTCCTTCCACAACCAAGGTTAGGGACGCACTGAGCTCCCCCCGCCCCTGCCAGGCTTGTTAAAACCCACCAGCTACCGGGGAACTGTGGGGCTTTTTGCCAACAACTGTCTCCTGTAGTCTGTCATGCCATCTATGAATGAAATACTGAAGCTGTCAACGCAACACTTTTGTTCTACAAGTCACATCAAACTACAAATTGTTCACGATGGCATTCTGTAGCGTGACTGTATCGATGTTTGTCGGTGTATTGTAGTTAAGGGAAATTTCAAGATGTTTTGATTACTGAGCTGCTTCGCCTTGTGTAATATGTGTATGTGGGGGGGGGTGTTGGGTTAATAGTGAGTAGTAAGCATGTTACCACCACACCCACCACCACACCCACCACCCACCCATCCACCCACCCACACATGAATGAAAAACACAAGGACACGATCGCACATTATTTTCATCAGTCACATTGAAAGGACGAGCGGTTATAATGGTGAAGGGAGGGCGGGAGATGCTGCCACGATGTTCACTTCTGGCGGTGTTTAGTGGTAAGAGTCCTGGAGCTATTTAATGGGCGGGTAAGAGTCCTGGAGCTATTTAGTGGGTGGGTAAGAGTCCTGGAGCTATTTAGTGGGCGGGTAAGAGTCCTGGAGCTATTTAGTGGGTGGGTAACAGTCCTGGAGCTATTTAATCGTGAGTAAAAGTCCTGGCGGTATTTAGCTCACTAAAATGAATGCTCTATAAAGACCCATTGGAGTGTCGGTGGAGAGAGGAACAATTGAGAGTTGCTGAGACAAGGTGCCAGAGTGAGCAGCTGAAGGGAAGGCTTGTGAGGTGGGTGTGGGAAGGGTGATAGGGGGGGGGGTGGGAAGGGTGATAGGGGGGAATGGGAGGCACGAGATGTCTGCGGTATACACGCACACACACACACACACGCAGACACACACACGCACACACAGTGACGAACGCAAACAGCAATTATCATTATGTTGGAGGGAGGGGAGGGGGAAGGCGGTGCTTCCTGTGTGGTGGCGACCTTGTTGATGTACCACACGACGGTACACTGGCTGCTGTCATTCCAACCCTTCCCTCCTCTTCTTCCTTCCTTCCTTCCTTTTTCCTCTCTCCTTCCTCTTCCTCTTTCCTTCTTGTTTTCCTCCTTCCACCTCTTACTCCTTTCTGTCTTCTTCCTCTTCTTCCTTCCTCTCTCTCTCTCGCCTCTCCCTCCTCCTTCCCTCCGATTTCTAGCAAAGAACTCGTAGTGGCCGGGAGTTTCCACTAATACCCTCTCTCACCACACACATCCCTGCTCCCCTCCCACCCTATTACCTCCCCACCCTATTACCTCCCCACCCTATAACCTCCCCACCCTATTACCTCCCCACCCCATCCTCCCACCCTACACCCTATTACCTCCCCACCCTATTACCTCCCCACCCTATAACCTCCCCACCCTATTACCTCCCCACCCCATCACACACACACTCCCTCACCACACAACACACCGACCTACTCACCAACGACAGTGTCCAGGGCTGGTCCAGTCTATCACTTACCTGCGGATAAAAAGAAATAAGGATTCAGTTACTTTTATCATCAGTATTGAGTATCATAATGTATCACCTGGCCACGTTGACTCACCTTCTGTGTGTGTGTGTGTGTATGTGTGTGTGTGTCAAGACTAGTACTACACAGGGCAGAAAAAGTAAGAAGTAAATTAGTACAGGTAAGACATCATTAAGGTGACCCAGGTGAGCCAACTCTCAGTGCAGCGGAGCGATAACATCCGCCTTGTGAGATAAGACACAACTGTGCTCTCGAGGCCAAGGTCCTATAACACCCCCCACGGTAATGTGTTGGGTATTGATAAATGTTAATAGTCAGTGAATTAACAACCATCAGTCAGAGAAAATAGCTCTCTCTCTCTCTCTCTCTCTCTCTCATCTAAGCACACGCACACACACACCTTATTGATATCACAAGGAACACTAAGCGCGGATGGCTTCATGTTATTGGTCTGCGGGTGGTTGATAGCTTGCTGGCTGGCTCTACCGACTCACGCATCCGGTTTATCAGTCATGGATATACATGTGAAGCTGGAGGGGCTCTGCAAACACCTACAGTCCACACCTGAAGGATTTTCTTAGTTTTTAAGATTTTTTTGTTATAATTACCAACGTGAAGGTGAACTAATTATCTAGTACACCTGGGGATGATTTTCAGATTAATTTTCCCATTATACTCTCAGTCTGTTGTCCAAGTCGTTTACCATCACAACACGTAATAATAATAATAATAATAATAATAATAATAATAATAATAATAATAATAATAATAATGATAATAATAATAATAATAATAACAATAATAATAATAATAATAATAATAATAATAATAATAATAATAATAATAATAACAATAATAATAATAATAATAATAATAATAATAATAATAATAATAATAACAATAATAACAATAATAATAATAATAATAATAATAATAATAATAATAATAATAATAATAATAATAATAATAATAATAATAACAATAATAACAATAATAATAATAATAACACACTGTCTATAGAGTTGTTACTGGTTATATTCACAGGAGGTTAATAACTCCCCAGTGAATAAATCCTTTTAAATCATCACCTCACGTGTTTCTTCATCAGTTTTTAAACATCACTAAACACTACAGTTACTCTTGTTAATACCGTTTAAAATGTTCACTCTTAGTTATTTTGTTCAGAAATACAGATTAAAACAACACACACAAGACTTGCCACTTGTGTAATCCGACGAGCTCTGAGGCGGCTGTTGGAACTTTAAATAATCGACCTCACCGCCTACCCTGATTGGCCATTCCTACCCCCTCCCTCACCTGGCTTCTAATTGATCACTACAAACCTGTTTGACTCCTGATTGGTCAATCCCCCTTCCAGTTCAAGATATTTGTATTTACATTTTCTTCTTTATAAGAAAACGTAACTCAACCTCCCTACTTAATGTAAAATTATTACTAAAAAATATATATAAAACATTATTATGTACTTAAGATTATAATTCATGGAAATATAGACCCGTATTATTCGTATAGTTTAATTATATATTTCAAATAGTATCCGAACTATAGTATTTCCCCACTAACCTGGCTCAATGGTTCCCCTGGGCGTGTTACCACCTCTGGACTGTTCGTTTTTATATCGACCTTTTATAATTATTTAAAAATTTCTAACATCCTCTCTGAAGCGCAAATGACTAGAAATGATTTGTATTCTGATAGTCCAGATATTTAACATTATTTTAGATAATAACAGTTCTGGTTACCAATTGTTAATACATTTAGTTTGTATTTTCTATGAACCAATCAGCCATTAGTATAGAAGAGGGGCGTGGGAAGGGTGGGAAGGAAGGAGGGAGAATGTGTAAAAGTATGATGGGTTGTGTGAGGGAGGAAGGGGGAGTGTGAGAATGAAGGGAGAGTAAGTGTGATGGAGAGAGAGAGGGAGGGGAAGCGGAACAGGGAGGGAGGGAAGGAGGTAATGGAAGCGTAACTGTAAGGGAGGGAAAGAGTGAAGAGGAATAAGTGTGAGAGAGAGAAAAGAAAGAAGTGAGAGAGAGAGAAGGAAAGATTGAAGGAGAGAGGGAGGAAGGGAATGAACGGAAAGGAGAAGCGTAAATGTAAGGGACGAGGGGGGGGGCGGGGCGGAGAGGGAGGGAGGAGGAGTGAGACAAGGGGTGAGCCAAGACCTTCCTGGTATGAGTGGTGAGGCAGCGTTGCACCAGCTGAGGCACCACACCCAATCATCACGTCGTTGTGCAACTTCCCTCTCATTGCAGACCTTTAGCAAGTTCCTCTCCATACCAAGAGTTAAGCAATGTCCTGATCATACATACTAGAAGCCAGACACTATTGCCACCATACATGCGACATTCTGTGCAAGGTCATTAATATACATACCAGGTGGCAAACACGGTCACCAGTATACATACCAGGAATAAATAAACAAGGGTGTCAGTGTACACAGGTTGGCAGAGGCAGTGACAACATCTCTCTCAGTGATGATGCTGACAACCTTTCCAGTCGTGACCTCTGTATCTAATAGACAGAGGGTGAAGGACACGAGTGCTGTAGTGTTATATACCAACAACAACTGTCTGAAGAATCCGATATAACGTTTACAGTGTTTGTTTACACGAGCCGGGTGTGGCGGGACAGTGTCAGGAGTAGGCGCCAATAAAAAAAAGCAGCTATCTGTCTTTATACGCAGACTGAAAAGAACATCATGCCTTCTTCCCCCCCTCCTCCCCCCTCTCCCCCCCTCCCCCCCTCCTCCCGCACAACGAAGGCCGGGGGAACATTCCGTGGCTGGCCGCTAGAGGGCAGGCGGGGCGGCAGGTCACGGACAGCACTACCACCACCACTCCCTCCCTCACCACACTTTTTCAACCTTACTCTTCATGTTCCTCTAAGTCAATAATTCCTAAAAACATCAATAAACTTATAAAAAAAAATCCATAAACTCAATAACCTTCCTTACCCATCCCCCCAAAAGGCGACTGGGGTGGAAGAATTACTCGTCCACAAGAAAACCATTATTTTACCCCATTGGATACCGCGTAAGACTACCACGGCAGACAGCACCAGTCTCTCGCATGATGCCCCATTGATTCCGATCCTCTTGATAACCCGTCCCAATAAGATTCAATTCTTTATAACCCGGAATTTATGGTTTTTCTGTGTTGCTAGAGGGGTTAACCCACCACTTCTGTCTACACCTCATATACCCAGACACCCACATGCCAACACTCTCGCTCACATGCCTAATGGTGGCTAGAGGGCGTGTTGGGAATGCTACGGTTAGCTGATGGTGCTATTATTATTATTTCAACCCTCGCTATTGTATTGGTGGTAGTGCTAGTTGAGATGGTTAGTGGTAGTAGTGGTGGTGGTAAGTAACAGCTGGTGGAGGAAACTACATACTAGGCAGTCCCGTTTACACCCAAAACCTATCGCTCATATGTCCATACAAC